AAGACCCCCAAGGTAGGAGCCAGCACCACTGCCCTTGGAAGTTGGTTCCAGATCCTAGCTGCCCTGACTGTAAAATAGTGTCTTCTAATGTCCAGCCTGGTGAGACAAGACCTGCCCACAACGAAGCCATGCTTGCTGTTGTTCACAATCCTATCTTCTGCAGGCTTATTGCAGATAGACTCCTTGATGAATTTTTCCAGGATTTTCCCTTGGGTAGAAGTTAGGCGAACTGACCTAGAGTTACTTTTGTCTTCCCACTTCCCCTTCTTGTAGATGGGCAGAACATCAACCCTCTTCCAGTCGTCCGGGGCTTCTCCAGAGCACCACAAGTTGTGGAAGAGTTTTGCCAGGGGTTCTGCGATGACTTCGGCCAGCTCCTTCAGCACTCCCCGATGAAGTTCATTCAGTCCTGCTGACTTACACATGTCTAATTTTTTTAATTGATTGAATTGACTGCATGTGTAGTATTATTACTACGTATGGCTCAGTTACTGTATTAATTGCACCATAATTGTAACTGTAATTGCCTCAGACCAGTACTTTTCCTCCTATCTGTAAGTTCAGTGAAATAGAGGAAAATGACTTCTTCATGTTCTGTAGATTTATTTGGCTAGTTGAAATCATGCTGGACTATAATCAGACAAAATGTATGCTACATGATGCAAACAGTTTTTAAAAAAGCTTTGATTTTATTGTTTTGCACCCTCACCTACTAGGAAAAAAATTAAAATATATTGTCAGTTTGGGAGAGTGTAATTAATTTTTGTAGTGTCAGCACATTGAAAATTCATAGAAGTTAGAAACTTTTTAGTTTGGGAATTATTTTTCGTATCTTCACTTGAGCTTCACTTATTGGCAGTGGTTTTAAGTTTAAGGTTAAATACTTTCAGCAATTCTAGAGTCTAGAGAACAGGAGCTACGTTGTGCTACTCATGGGAGATTCTGTATAAAGGAAACCATGCTTCCTTGATAAAAAACTGATTTCCTTTAGAATGTGCAGTTCACTAGGTGACATTTTTAATGTGTTTTTTAATAATTCAGTTGTGGTAAGAAATAATTTGTATTATTGTGAGTATTCCCTCTGGTGTGCTTCCTAAAACTGAGACTTGAAATTAGGAGCAAACTCAGGTGAAAGACAGTAACACTTCTATACCTTTGGTTATAATGTTTTGCTTGTTGCAAGATATGTGTAATTGAAAATATGAAATACACCAAGGTTTTGAAAGGTATTGTAAGCTCCATTTTCTTTTAGCTGATATGGTAAAGGGTAGGATTTGTTTGCTGTCTAGCCACTCAACAGCACTTTGAAAAAAGAAAAAATGAGCTTAAGTTAGATTTCTATGCATCTTTTTGTAATGTAAAATGTTAAATTTTAAAAGGACAAACTCCTGAGGAATACATTTGACACTGTTTAGGAGTAAATGGCATTGAATCTCATAGGGTGCATCCAGATCAGCGTATGCCTGTTTTATGGTGCTGCAGACCGCACGCACTATGCTTGCAGACATTTGCTGCACTGCTGATTTACAGCATGGCAGGGTTTTTGACACTGGGAGATCCCAGTGCTCATGCTAAGCTTTATAAACCAGTATAGTTGTCATTAAAAATATAAAGTGATAATAGAACTGTTGAGTGACATGTATAAATGACCTAGTTGTGAACTGTAGACCATATTCCTTTGAAGGCAAAATCCTGATTCGCGTATGCTGTTTAAAACACATATTCAAAAAGCCTGCTTTGTTCCTTCTTTGCTCATATCTAGAAAGTTTCTTTTACCTCAGATTGAAAAATGTCCTTTCCTATTGTCTGCTTCTACTGATAAAACAGATGAACTGCTCAGGTGAGGTTAGTTAATAAACCAGCTAAATTGTTTGGTTTAAAGATGCTTCACGCCAGAGGTGCTGAGCTAGTCTAAATCAACATAGCACCATTAACTTCAATAGAACTATTATAGTTGACACGGGGTAAGTACTTACTTCTTGGCATTTGTCTGTAATTCAGTAAATTAGGGTTATGAAAGGAGTCTTCATTGTAGGTGTTTTTAAACCATGATATTATCTTACTGAGTTTATTTTCTTTGTAGCTGTTTTTTCATGGAAAATTCAGTGGAAGTATTTACCCGACTCCAAGATGGGTCTGAATTTAAGACAACTTCCAATAATTACTCTGTTCATGGAAAATTGTATAATTTTGCATGTGTAGAATCTAATTATTGGAGAGTTCTTTAAACCTGCCCTCCCCCAGCGCGCGCGCACACACTGCTGAAGTGGCAGGGGGTGGTGATGATGGTGGGGGGTCAAGGAGCCTGACCCCTGTCTACTGGAGCCTGGTCCCCCACATTTCCCCCTGCTGCCTGTCCCATTCACCACTTTCCTCTCTGGTGCTTGCCCCCCACTTCAGTCTGCCTCCCACTCTCTGCTTACCCTTTGGCTCCTGGTGGGCTCCGCCTGTGCTCCACCCTGGGGCATGGAGCCGGAGAAGATGTAGCTGTTGTCTCACCTCAGCCTCTGAATTTAGTAGCATCTTTCTTCTGCTTTTCTCTACAGACCAGGAATCCTGTGTTAACAGGGTTATGTATCTACAGTTGTGCTTCTATATTTGCTCTCTGTATTATTGCAAATCCCCATTTTAGCTCATTTTACCTCCTGCCTCTGCTGACAGTGCAAGGATGTTTTAGGGTTTACTGCACAATAGACTTGTGGGAAATGCAAGTATTATTTGTTTTCTGTCACAATCCTGCCATGTCGCTTGTGTCAGTAAATAAGGGTATGAGTTTATAAAGCAGTGCTAGCTTACCTTTGGGGTACTGTAAGAGCAAAAAAAATGTTACATAAATATTGCCCTGCATTGTCAGCAACCTAAATATTGGAAGTATTTGTTGTGCCAGAACCAAACACTATTTATTTTTATTTGTAATCCCAAGAAGTGCAACTGTCTTAAGGCCAAGGTATGTTTGCCACAAGTTTTAAAATAGTCATAAAAAGCTTGAATTGTTCCTTTTAAAAGTAGAAAATAAACAGAGATTAAATTCAGCCAAGCAAAAACTGCAAACAGAAGCCTTCGTCATGGTTTTGATGCTCAGAAGCCTCTGGGTGATAGACTTGCAGAATACCATGAAAGTAATTAGATCTGGACTACTGAGGTTCCAATAGGACACGGTACTAGAAGTTGGCTGACCAGCTATTCATCTTCATTTCCTAAGCTGAGTGCAATGTGAAGTGTTAACAATCAGTGAGACTGACTGAAGCAGCTAGTAATCAGGTTGAGTTGCAGACTTTTTAATTATCTGGACACTTTGCTCATTCTTCTGGTGTGGATTAGTTTGAAATGAGTGATTTAAATTGCCAAATGGAAAAGCCTCAGTGTGGTTTTTCCATTTGGACTTCAGTTTTTTTCTAAAGGAAGATGCATTCTTATTGGTTGATATAACCAGTCATGCATGTACATTTGCAGCTCAGTTAAGCTTTTTGGGTACATCTTTTTGTTATCCATGAGACTGTGTTATAATTGTATTAATTTATTTAAGCAATCTGGTGCGCTGTTTTTGTCATACAAAACCAAAAGCAATTGTCAACTTAATATTTTCAAATTTGTATTAGTTTTACGTTTTGATATGTTAGGAAATGGGGAATGAGGCATAGTTTTTACTGATTTGCTAAGCAGCTGCTTTAGGATGCTAACTGGAGTCTGATCCTGCTGAGATATTAAATGGTATCTCTTGGAGTTGAAGGTAGAGGCTACATTTAGCCCCCCCTATTTAGCACTGGTGAGTCCACATCTGGAGTACTGTGTCCATTTTTGGGTCCCCCACAATAGCAAGGATGTAGACAAATTGGAGAGGGTCCAGCAGAGGGCAACCAGAATGGTGCGGGGGTTGGGGTACATGTCTTATGAGGACAAGCTGAGGGAGCTGGGCTTATTTAGTCTGCAGAAGAGAAGACTGAGAGGGGATTTAATAACAGCCTTCAACTACCTAACGTGTCACCTCAAAAGTTGGATGTTTTTCTCTTTATTCCTTTTTTACAGAGACTCAAACACCCTTTAACTTTAGAGGTTTTTTGGATTCAGAATATATATTTTATGCAAATATTTATGATGGTGTAGTAACGTTAGGCTTAATATAATCAATGCAGATTTCTTTTAAACAGGTTTGCTTTTTTAAAGTAAAAGTTTTATATATTAATTTTAAATTTAAAAAAAAATAAATTAAAAAAATAGATTTTTATCAATCCTACAATTTACTCAGGTTTCTGGGAACAACTAGCTGTTCTGCGACATAGTCCACACATTTGTATACCTGTTTAAGTTGATTAGGGATGTGATTTTTCAACTGTAATAGTTGTCTTGTTGTTGTTTAGATTTATATCCCACCCTGTTTAGAAATGTGCAGTGTGACTTACAATAACTGACAAACAGTGACCAAGAAAAAACAACATATGCCTCCCCCCCCAAAAAACAAGTAAATAAATGACACTTGTGTACCTTTCTGCCAGCACTGGATGGCAGTAACATGGGTATAGAACAAATCCTAACATGGCTATAGTCGTAAGTCTAAAGGTGCCTTGTACTGGTGTAGCTTATTGTTTCCTGTAATAATAACTGTATGACTATAGTTAAAGTGATAGAATTTTTGTATTGAACAAGACCTGGGTGTACTTCTGGCTTGTCCCAGGTATTGGCTTGCTCCCTGTCAGTAAACATCCTATTTAATTGATCCATTTGGTTGCATGCTAGTCATTTGATACTATCATTGTGAAAAGTTTTAATACCCTAATTCTTTTGGTTTTAATAATTGCAACAGCTCTTGTAGCTTAGATAGCAACTTGTTTGTTGTTTTTTTTTTTAATGTCTTGATGGGGCCACTGTCTTTAATGGTTTATATTTAATGCCTTAATCAAGTAGGTCCAGATGGCAGTTGAGTTGAAGCTGTAGTTTCTTTGTTTCATTCTTTTTTTCGCTTTGAGAATGAAGTAGAGTAACATTTCCTTATTCTTTTTCAGGAGTGGAACATGAAGATCTGATAGAAGAATTGCTATGTTGTCTCATCCAGCTCATTGTTGAAATTCCTCTTCTGTAAGTACCTATAAGAATATTTTTTCCAAACTGGGTATTTGTACCTTCCAAACAGAATATCTTCTTCCATCATTCCAAGGTTTGCTGTGCTTGGAAAAATCATTTTATTTGGATACTAGCCAAAGGGAGGACCATTGTGTCTACAGTGTAATAAATAGTGATATGATGTCTCCTGGACCTGACCCTAGATATTTGTTAGCTGAATATTTTGCAGTTCAGCTACTTTCCCACTTCAGTCCATTTGTTCTGTCCCCTCCCGTTTTATTTAATAGTTTCATTTTGAGCCAGTACAGTGCTTCTGGGAATATATGGAGAGCACACACTTTACATGGTTGAGGCTGGCACTCTCTGAGTTGGGGACATCATAATTATTATGGTTTGAGTAAGTTAGAGGCATGCATAGCTATTCCCACATTGGTAAAACTGTCATCACTACAGGTGATGTGAAACTTTCAAGAGTGCCAGTATAGTGATTGTCTTTGCTTACAGATCAGGGAAAGAAGATGATCTGAGAAAAGATTCCCTGATCTCCCCTGCACTTATACCTGGTACTAGTTTTTTTAAAACTCAAATCATGTTGCTCTTCCTCCTTTGAACTACAGTGGAACTGATTTTTGAGAATTCAAGGGCATGGGCAGACTGCTTCTCTAGATCTCTAGACACCAAACTGACTATTAAAATATAGAAGTCCTAAAAGAGTTTCTGTTGTTGTCTGGCTTTTATCAGATTTTTTGTTGCAGTGTAATTTTTACCTCTGTTGCTGACCTAGTTTTTACATTGCTGATTGTTCTTTTGGTTGGAAAGCTGACAAATGCATTCACTGCTGGGATGAAGATACAATTCTTTCTGAAATATTAATCTAATTAACTATAATCCTGTCGATGGTATACTAGTGTTTTGAGTCATTACTGTATAATGAAATAGTTGTATGATTTAGTGTCAGCCTGCAAAACAAAGGGGCATTGTCAGTACTTCCTGGCATAGTTTTACACTTTTTGTTTGGAGTAGATTAAAGGAAATACTTGGAGAAGAAATATAGCCACATTCAGAAATCCTGCATCTTTCTTAGATGGCAGAATGGTTGTTTAAAGTTCATTGTCAGATACCATATTTTCTTGCATGCAGTGCATCTTGGATATAATGTGCACCTTTGTTTTTGAACAGTAGATTAAAGGAGAAAAAGATTTCCAGAGTTACAGCTGCATAGAGCAGGGACAGAGCCTCCTCTTCAGCTGACTCGCTCTTTCTTTCTTGTATAACTAAGGATTAAATAGTAGGAGGGAGACCAGGAGCAGCTAGCAGACAGAAAAATTGCCCTGATAAAGGGTAGGTTGATTAGTGGAATTTTAAAAAGGAGAGACGTAACACCTCTGGAGTAAAGAACAATATGTTGATCGACTCCCTCAGTGGAATAGTAATGTAGTTCAACAGCTGCAGGAGGAATCAGTGTAGGGTGCTTCTATCCCCATCAGAAAATCAGCTTTCCTGCTAAATACACACACCCCAATTTATTTATTTATTTTTTGGGGGGGAGGTGCAAAGTGCATGTGATCAAAATATGGCTTTCTGTTGTTTCGGTAAAAAACGTTCTACACCCATGGTTGTTTTAACCCGTTTAAACAGTTAGATCCTACTGGCATTTCTACCTTCCTGTGAATATGCTTAGGAATAGCAGTAGCTATATGAAGCCTCAATTATATCAATAGCAATAGGAAGGGAGGTGGGGAGAAGTGGCCTGGTGAAGTCTTTAAGCATTTTCAGAACTGCCTAGTTCTGTGGGAAATGCTGTAATTTCTTTATGCTTATAGCTTTGGTTTATAAGAAATACACAAGCAACGTCCTCTTAAGCTTATGCTTTTTTAGCCAAAATTTTCCTGATCTAGTACATTAAAGTGGGTTGGCTGCATCTTAAATATAATATTACATACTTTAAAATGTAAATTTTGGTATCTTGAGTAATGTAATGCTGTTTCAGCCGTTGCCTCCTCTATGTGACTGAGTGGGCAAAAGGACGTATGGGACCCCCCCCCCCCAACCCCCCCCCACAAACAAACACAAAAAACAAAAACAAAACCCAACAACAACAACAACAAACAAAATACCAAACCCACAACAAACAGTCTTCATTGAGCTTTTGCTCTTGGTTTGGTTATGTGGGGGCCAATCTTTCTGACAGGCATGCCACAAATTAGCCTCACATCATCCTGGATTGCCACTCTGATCCTCTTCCCCTGCCTGATCTACCCCGTTTTCCTGGTCCCTGCCTCATCTGCTGTTCTGCTTTCTCCTTCTCACTGTCTGCTGTTGTGTTGTCTGTCCCTATCCTGATTCACCATGTGTCACACACAGGCTGCCTGTGCCTGGTCCTTTCTGTTTATCAATTGCTGAAAGTCACTTTCTAGTAGATGTATGATCAGCCAGAAGGAACTCAGAGCTCATGTCTCTGTTGTGGACTGTATACAGTTTCTTAGAGATGTGGTGGTGGTGAAACATTTTTGGCTTTAGGTAACTTTCGATTTTCAGGTAAATCCTGGGTTCGTTTGCCAGTGATTATTCCCCCAGTTTGATTTATCAGGTGAATTCTTTCCGTATTTTGTTTTTAAAGGGGGATGGTTAATTACTGACTTACTGCTTTAATATCTAGAAAATTCACAAACTGATGTGTAGATTTTGGAAAAGAACAGAAAGGCCATGGTATTTCGGTTTAAAAGGACTACATTAGTTAGAATTTTTATGATTTGCTTGGCATCCCATTAGCAGGAAGACTTGAAGTCTATTCTACTAGAAAACAGGCAATTGTTCCAACTTGTGTTAGTGATGCCTTTGCAGCTGAGATCTGTAAGGTTTTAAATTATGATCTAAAGAGTCATAAACATAGAAAATTAGGGCTGGGAGGGACCTCCGGGAGTTATTTAGTTCATCCCACCCTCCTCTGGGTTCAGGATCATCCTTGTCTAAACCATGCTAGAAAAATGCTTGTCTGAATCAGCGATTCTCAACCAGGGTCCCCTGAGATCCTTTTAAGGGTGCAACACAAAAATTATCACTGTTATCAATGCAAAAACCTACATGGGATTCACAAGATAAACCCAGATATATCAGCAGGAATCCATAGTGTCAAAAACATTTTGACTTGTTATGGTCTTTCTTGGTTTTTGCAACAGAAGTATTGTTGCATTATTTTTCTCTAGTAAAAAAAAAAAAAAAAAATGAATGAAGGCTTAAGAGCTGGCATTTTGTGGCATGTGCCTTGAGTCTAAAAAGATTGAGAACCACTGGTCTAACCAGTTCCTAAAATTTTGGGGGGAAATCCTTACACAACTACTGGGCATAATGCCTGAAACCTCAGCAACACCTTGAGCTTGCCACAGGTAAAGTGAGGGGGAGGGCATGAGCACTAGCACTGTTAACATCCTGCCATTGCAAAGATAGGAATTGTATTTGTTAAGATACACCTGAGATCCAAGGAAGAGGGCCACACCTCCTGCTACAGATGAAGACTGAAACCCTCACAGTCCGTGCCGGTCTAACCATGGGGTAAAATTGTTTCCTGATCCCAAATGTGGTGACTTGTCTGACCCTATGGAAATGAGACTTTTAATATTTCAATGCTGAATTCAGTCGAGCAGAGCTTTAATCAAGTAGGCCTTTCATTAGCAATATTCGGTATGCCTCCAGCGGATTTTCACTGCTTAGCTAGGCCCATAATGTTCTGCAGAAGGTTTCAACGAGAAAAGGCCACTTCCTGGAACTTGCTTTCTGAATTTATTGCTTCTTTAGATACGCCATTAAACCACATTCCACCCCATTGCTAAAAATAAATAAATAAATAAAAAAAGAATAGGATGCCTTGGAATGAATAGACAGTTGCATAATAGTCTCTTGTATCCTTATGTCCATAATACAGCAAGTGTACCCTGGGTGCTTTACTGCTTAAATGATTCCATATCTGTCACGGCAGGCATTTCATATCTGTGAAGGCAATCCATCTGTATAGTTACTGGAAGCTTAAACTCTTTTGTGATTGTAGCATTCTAGGCTGTTTCCCTTGAGGTTATTGGGTAATGTGCGGACATGTTAACTATTTATTCAGTAGAGAACCCAACCTATTATAGACAGAACTTTTCTCATGCTTATAGAAAGCAAAAAGAATATTTGGATTACTGTGGTAAAATTTATGCTTGTAAAACAAGGGAAGACAGTCCCTGATATTCAGTCTTGAGTTTCCCCAGAATAGAGCATTTATAAGTGATTGAACAGAGATACCGTGGGAGCATGTGGAAGATGAGTTTGAAAGGAGCAAATGGAAAGAATAGCCCAACATTACTATCCACTATATATATGCTGCATAAAAGACAAAATAATTTTGTGACTCCCCTCCTTGTCTCCGTCACACAGAAATACAAACGTGTCCATGTAGTAAGACTGAAAAAATGCATGTCTTGAGCTTTGGTTGGAAAGACCGCAGAGGTGTGTTGTGGTGTATGTCAGAACATCAGAATGTAGAAGGACATTTCTCAGTTACGGGGTATAGCTGAAGATCTAGCTGCTGCCTTGTGCCTTCTCTGAGTTACCATCATTTGGGCAGGAACAAGTGGCATTATTGGCTTCAGGATAGTTGGTGACCTTATAGGTCAGGGGTCAGCAAAATATTTTTGGCAGTGCCAAAAAATTGCACTGCCTTCTTGTAAGCGTCTCAATTATTCCAACTACAGAAAGAAAATGTGGTTCAGAAAACCCTAGATGGACCAGAGTAATTAATTCGTGTAGCATGTTTTAAAATTAAAAGCTAACATAGGCTCTAATTTGAAGATTGTTTCACTTAAAATATGTGTTGTATGTTTGTACTTACCAAAAAACCCAAAACATTGTGTTAATCTCCAGTGAGAGGTACTGTGCAATGGTTTTCGATTGCTGCCTCCTTTAGATGTATTAAGACGTTGCTTCTCTTTTAATCTTGTCAGTATAAGCACCCAAAGGTGTGCTGCATGAGCAAGCAG